CTGGACGTGGAGAAATTCACTGGAAAGGAGGATCCAAATGTCCACCTTGACACCTTCCACAATGCAGCACAGATGGCCGGGTGCACTGATGCTGAGGAGTGCTTGCTCTTCTTCTCATCCTTGAGAGGGAGGCCTGTGGAATGGTTTAACGGCCTTCCCCATGGCAGGATTGGGTCCTTTGAGAAACTTGCCAAAGTTTTCTGCAAGAAGTACCAGGACAACTGCATTAAGAGGAAGAAGTTCACCTACCTTAACACGGTAGGGCAGAGGGAGAAGGAGTCCTTGACTCAATTTTTAACCCGCTGGAGGGACGAGGTTGACAAGGTAGAAGAGATGGATGATAAGACGGCCATGTCTTTACTGATGAATGCCTTCCGGTCGGGTGACCTCTACACTGAATTTTGTAGAAGGCCACCCTCCTCTTATCAGGAAACCTATAATACGGCATGGGAATACGCCGAGGCGGAGGTCCTGAACAAGAGCAAGCGAGAGCTGGAGGAAGGCTATACAAAGGCGAAATCTGACAAGCCGAAAAAGGATGACCAGACGGGAGGGTCCAAGCCAAAGGCCACATATGATGGGTCCATCCACCAAATAAGGGATGATAAGAAGGGAGAGCAACCCAAGAGACCATGGACGGAGAAGTGGTGCACATACCACCAATCCGATTCCCATAACACGGCGGACTGCCGAAATGTCAAGGCCGTGCTCAAGGAGATGGCCTTGAACGGAGAGCTGGGGGAAGGTTATGCAGCGGGGAATAAAGATCCGAAAGCAAACACCTAGACCCGTCCTCAGGGAAAAGACCAGGGGAGGAAAAAATCCGGGAAGGATAACAACAAGCCGGATAAAGAATTCATCGAGATGATTGTCGGCGGCCCAGAAGGCGGGGACACTGCCTCCCAGCGGAAGAATTGGGCCAGGAGCTTGCACGTAGCGGTGGTTTCCCTGGAATCACAAGGGAAGCAGGCAAGGAGGGAACCTATCACTTTCACTGATAGGGATCTGCCCAGGACGGGGGGAGATCATAATGACCCTTTGGTTATTACAATGGATATCAATGGAGCTGATGTGGCCAGGGTCCTGGTTGACACAGGAAGCAGTGTCAATGTTCTATACTTGGATGCTTTCAAGAAATTGAA